GGAAGAGCTTTTGCTTTGTATTCGTGAGGCACTGGGTTCAATCCTCAACACCACATAAAAATAAAGATATTGTGTCCACCTATAACTAAAAAAATAAATATTTTTAAAAAATTTACACAGTAATTTCAGAGATATTTACAGGATGTTTAAAAACGTTCACATTAAGTACATAAAATTTGGCAAACACAGTTAAAGAAAAATGTTTTCAAAATTTACTAATACTCAATTATTTAGAAAATTCTAACCAATGAAATAAAGAAATTCTATACAAGTCTGATTTCTTAGTAAAACCATAAGCAGATGAAGATACTACCTTTTCGCACTTTTAGGCCAAGGACTGGCACTTTAAAGGTGTGAGCAGTATCTTCCATGCTAGGGGGTGCTCAATAAATATTGAGACTAAGGGACTGGCTGAGTACCATACAGGAGGTTAGGGGAGTACAAGCCAACTGCGTTCATCCCTTGGTTTATCTCACCCCTCTCTAACTCTGGCTCTAGAGGGGATTCCTGGCCCCCCAACTCACCTTTCTTTTTTGCTGTCAAGTGTTTTGGAGCAAAAAAAACCCTCATAACACACCAGGAGCCACTAGAAACTGCTGCCTCCTTTAAAAGTGCATAATTGGCAAACATTTAAGCTTAAGGAAGCTGGGACCACGCAGAAGGTTCTAGAATTTCTATAGACCCAGGGTGCCGTCTTAATCCCTAGTGATGTCACCATCTCTTCTGATTTTTCTGTGCTCCCAAACGCACGTCCAGGTGTATTAGTGAGAACGTGGCCACCGCGCTCACAGGTTTAGTTGAATCGGATGCATTTTTCTCTCCGACCAGGGGAGGAATATCCGCTACGAAACAAACTGCATCCTCTCCACCCACAACAAATCGCAACAAGCAACCCGTCCCGCCGCAGCCTGCCCGGGACTGGGCCCGGGACGCCCGCGGCCTCTGCCCGCGCCGCCCGCGAGGGCTCGGCGGCTCACCTGAGCTCCAGCTGGTCTAGACTCTCCAGCAGGCGGCTGGAGCGGTCGGCCATGGAGGAGGAGCGGCAGAAGCGCCCCTCGTTGGCTTTGGCGTTGATCTTCGCCTGAGCCATCTGAGCCTCCGAGGCGGGGCGGCAGAGAGGTCACCGGCCTCTCCGGCGGTGGCGAGCAGAGCGCTCCCGGGGCCGCGGGCGTCGCCGTCACCGCGCGGGGCGCCCGCCTCCCTCTGACGCCCGTGGGGGCGGCCCGGGCAGACGCGCCGACTCCGCCGCTGCCGCGTGGCCAAAGAAGGACAGGCGCACCGCCTGCGGCAAGGGTACGAGTCGGAGAGGGGGCTCGCCGAGGGGCCGGTGGGGCTCGGGCTTGAGACGCCGCCAGGCCGCCGCAGAAAGGGGAGGTCCTGAGCTGGCGGCTGCCTCCCGCAGCGGACTCGGGCCGCGGAACCCGAAACCGGGGCGGGGGGCACCCCTGAACACCCAGCCTCGCTCGTGGCCCCGACTTTCCGTGCTGCCTGAAAGGATATCCGCCTGCGAAGGTACCTAACGGCAGACAGGCAGGAGCTGCACTGCCCACTATGGCTTCATTTGTTCTCCAGTACCCACATTCACAGCCAGAACAAAACCCGCTGGATCCTTTGATGTGTGGAAAAAAGGTCCCTCTGTGAAACAGAAGGTCTCTACACCGCTGGCAGTCTACACTGGCCTGACAAGTTGGGTTACCATTTTCCTGAGATGAGAAAAATGAAAGCCTGGACAACACTGAGGCAAAGTTATAAAGAACAAGCTACCACATCTTTCCCTGTCTACATGTGGGAAATAGGTGAACTGCTCCACTTCCACCCTAACGAAGGGATTTTTTAGTGACTTTGTTTTTCTTGTTGAAAAAATTATCTGTTACTTCACATCCAACTTAAGTCTCCTGTTAACAATATAAAGATGCAGTAGGCCCTTAGGTCAGATGCTTACAGGTCAGTAAAGGACCGACTAGGGCTAGGAATAAAAAGATTTTTTATTTAAAAAATTGTGCTTTAGTTCCCTCTTATAATAGTTCTGTGCCTCATACTGCGGAGATGAAAATGTACAGGGCACAGAAAATAATAAATAATAAATCTTTGAAGCTGAATCACGACCTTCAAAGTTATCTTAACCCTTGGTCCCAGTTCCACCCAAACGCATGGGATTATTTGACCTCATTAAACGTTATTTGTCATTTTATGACAGAAACTTGAAATATAAACACACTTTGTGAATAGTCTGAAAGTCTTATAATTTGACTTTAGAATCGTCCTGGAATCTGTCACATTCTAGATCCAATCCATTAATAAATACCGTCATTGGGGCTGGGGATATGGCTCAAGCCGCAGAGCGCTCGCCGGGCATGCAGCCCGGGTTCATCCTCAGCACCACATACAAACAAAGATGTTGTGTCCGCCGAAAACTAAAAAAATGAATATTAAAAAAATTCTCTCTTTAAAAAAAAAATCCCGTCATTTTTGCCTTCAGAATAGATTCTTCCTTTTCATTGGACTTACACCATTCCAGTCCAAGCCACTTAGTCAGTTGCACCTGGATTATTGCAATTCCTTCCTCTCTGGCCTCTGTGTCTACCTTTGTCTCTTATGTATTTTCAATATAACCAAATAAGGCACACCACACCACTTATTCTCAGAAACTTTTAATGGCTTCTCATTTCACAGTAAAAGCCAAGGTCCCCAAAAAAGCCTTAAGGACTTGTCTTTTACTCTTAAACTCATCCTGCTTTAGTCATACTGACATTTTGCTTTTCCTTGAATATACCAACTTCCCCTCTAGACTTTCTCATTTTCCACCTGGAACATTCCTCTCTATATAGATACTCCCCAGTTAGAATGAGGTTACATTCTGATGTAAGTTGAAAATATCATAAATCAAAAATGCACTCAACCTACTAAACAGTAGGCTTAATACACTCAACCTACTGAACAACATTGCTCAGTGGTACAGGGCATGGCATACCCTCATGCTGGGAGCTGCAACTCGCCCATGCAGGGCCTGAGAGAGTATGGCAAAACATTAACCTGGGACAAGATCAAGATTCAAAATATGGTTTCTCCTGAATGTATATAGCTTTTGCACCATCCTAAAGTCCAAATAAATAAGTCAAACCACCCTAAGTCAGGGACCACCTGTATATATTTGCATGGCTCATTCCTTCACCTTCCTCAGGTCTTTGCTCAAGTTCACTGATCAATGAGATCTTTCTTGACTATCCTAATAGAGAGCCTTCCCTCCCTCAGCTCCCTGCACTGTTTATATCCTTCCTTCTTTATTTACTTCATTATACTTATCACCATCAGATACACTGTTTTATTTACTTGTTTACTATTTAATACTCCCACAGTGTGTGTTCCATACCGGGCATGGAGCTTTGTTTTGCTCACTGGTGTGTGTCATTTGCTGAGAACTGTTGCCTGCATATAGTAGGTATTCAATAAGTATTTTGTTAGTAGATGGTAAATAAATGAATGGTAGAATGAAAAAAATCAGCATCTATGTCAGGATTAGAAACATTTACTTTTGATAATATACCTTTCCTTAATGTATTCTACTAGTTACATCTCCTATGTCTAAGTTAAGTCCAAATTATAATTTTAAAATGATTTTAATTAATGAGTAGAAATACAATCAGTGACAATTATAAATTTAAACATTAAATAACCCAATTATCTTTACTTAAGGTGAAACACCCCTTTCTTATTATACCAAAAGCTTCAGTTACTAGCATAACACACCAAGAAACCTTAACAGAGCACCCGTTTTCATCACACCTGTGTGTCATTGCTAACAGAGATGCTACCTGCTCTTGCCCCACATCCACTTAACTACTCTTCTCTCTGGAATGTCCCTTCTGCTTCTCACTATTTAGCAAACTCCTGCAGATATGTTTAAGGTCCAGCTCCATTACTGTATAGCCTAGTGCCTGACAACTTTAACATAAAAATTAAATGCACAATGTGGTCATTTTAGAAACATGATTAATAAATCCTCAATATACAATGCCAACCTTTAAAAATGCAAGTAGGAAGAGAAATGACATTAAAGAAATAAAAACACAATTTGGTTTCAAATATAGATTGAAAAGACTATAGTTAATAAACCAGCAATCTGTTGAACATTAAAATATCTAGTGTCAAAAAAAAAATATCTAGTGTCAGAGAAAAAAACAAAATTTTGGCCATGATATCTTTCCATCTGAAATATAAAGAAAAACTGTATAGAAATATTTTTTTACATTTAGTAAATAATTACTAAAAATTTTTAGAGATGAAGATGTTTTTAGTTAAATAACATGAAGCATATGTGAAGATAATATTAGTCCTTTTTAGTTTTCCACTTATGCAATTTTTACAAAAATTATAACAAGGCTTCAACATATAAAAATAGGGAATACCAAATGTATGAAATAGACAATTCAGTGAATTTGAATAACTAAAGTGAAAATACTCCATATGAAACTAAATTTTAGAGAGTTAAGGAAAATTATTCCTGAGAAGACCCTCAACATTTCCATTACTATTATTATTTTATTTATTTATTTTTTGTAGTACTGGGAATTGAACCCTTAGCCTCACATATTCTAGCCAAGCATTCTACAATTGAGCAATATCCCCAGTCCTTTTTATTTCACTTTGAGACACAAGTCTTGCTAAGTTGCCCAGGCCATGATCCTCCTGCCTCAGCCTCCAAAGCTGCTGGAATTACACATTTGCCCAGCAACAAACATTACTTTTGAAGAAAATTACGCATATAAAAATATATAAGAAGAGTAATATTATTAAAATAAGTTTAATTCTATGCATATATTTTGACATTCCTTTAAACAGTAGATCATACAAGTCACATAAAAGTCTAAGCATGTAAAAGGAATGGAAAAGGTTTCATTTTAGTTTTTTTGAAAAAAGTGTGCTTTTATTTTAGCAATGAGATTCTCTAAATAAAGCAAGAATATATATCTGTGTGATACCCACAAAGAACATCACTGGTAAAATTTTTAATCTGATTTAATTATCAATTTCCATTACCCTCCTAATAATCATAACCAAAGATCTCAAAGGTATTATATATTAGTGCCAGATGAGACATAGAATTTACGGAAAAACTTGAGTTATGGCACCTTTATTTATACTCATTTTTCAATCCTAAAAAAATAAACTAGAATCATCTGTACAGTACAAAAAAAAAAGAAAAAAAGGAACTAATGATACTTGGAAACCAAACAATAGGCAAAACTTTCCTTTTTTTCTTTAATCCTTTTAACCTAAATATATGAATTCTAAGTTAGTTGGGAAACTGTGATACCTATATATTAGAATACATGATCTATATATGCATTAACATGTATTCTATTCCTTTGATACAATTTTGTACAGTAGCACAAAAAATACAAAGCAAATATGATATTGTGAACATATCAACACAAAAACATGTTTTCAGATACGTTTATACTAGTAGGTTTCTGGTCTCCTTTAGAAAACAAACTCAAGAATTCATTATCCTGAGTCTCTTCAAGGCCACTTGATGTTTTGTGGTTATATCTTTAATTACATTTCCTCAAGACTTCTTCTAATAGCTTCTTCTAATTCCACATCTGTATTAAAAAACAGAATTTTAAAACTTAGGGCAGAAAACTAATCAACATGTTCTTTATGTAAGTTTTATCAACTATATTCATCTTTTCAAGAAGGAAAGAAAAATCAAAATTGAAGAACTTAGGCTATATTGGAGTTTCTCTGTATTATTTGAATATTTTGAACTGAGTATCTGGATATGATAATAACTACATATTTGAACTTAAAAGTTATTTCTATTTAGGGATGCAGAAAGTCAACAAATTTTCAGTCACTCACACATACATAATCACTTGTTTCAATATTGAAAGAAATCCTTATCACTTATTTCCTAAAAGACTTGAAGTGATACATATAAAGATGAAGTTGAAACAGAAAGGTTAACATTATGAAACAGCAAAAATCTCACAGGTTATTAAATTTTACTTTTTGTTTTGTCAACTATACTTCAATAAAGCCTGATGAGAAAAATCAGCTCTAAACTTTCTAGCATCTTAGGCAGAGTGAAACTCATGGCTATATAATGTTATCTGAGAAATGTATGTATACACACACAACTCATTTAACCAATATTTATTGAATGCCCACCATATACCAGGAACAAGAATATAACAGCAAACAAGAAAGACATCATTGGGCTCAACAGGTCTCTCTCCATCTCTTCCCTGGGAATGCTTCTAAAACCTAGGAGGGTAGAATTAGGGGTCAACTCCTTCCTTTCACTGGTTTCTCATACCAGATTTATCTTATCATACATGGTTCACAGCCTCCCAGAGCCTCCTTAGTTTACAGGCACCAGTGATTCCTCTAGGATGCAAGTGTAGTTTCCTCTGAGCAGGGGCACTGTTACGGTGTCTGCAATTTAAAATACTACAAACTAGTATAAACTGTGCATTAAATTAAAGGTACATTCTAAGGTCACAGAGTTGCCCTGAGATGAACTCAAAGGGATGAATTAACACAAAGTAAAGCCAAGACATTTCTAGTGAAGAATAAGGTGATAAGACTTGAATAAGATAGAAAATGTTATTATGTAGTTACAGTAAGAAAGAATGTGGTACTAGTGTAAGAATATACAAAGAGACCAAAAGAACAGCAGAGGAATTTCAGAAACAGACCCATGATTATATGTACACTTTAATTGCAAAGGTAATACTACAACATACAAGGGAAATAGGGTCTTTTTAATAAATGGTGGTAAATCAAATGATAAGTCATATAGGAAAAATAATTTTATCCCTATCTTAAGGAAAACACAAAAACGTATTTCTGATATTCTATATATCTGTGAGAGGCAAAATGAAAAAGCTTTTATAAGAAAATATAGGGCAGTATGTTTATGATCAGTGTAGATGAAGATTTATTAAACAAAATTCAAAAACCATTATGGAAATGATGGTGAATTCCACTGAATTAAAATTGTGCCCACCAAAAGGTGCCATTACACTTGGGAGGCTGAGGCATGAGGATCACTTGAGCCCAGAGTTCTAAAACCAGTCTAGGTAACCTAGTGGGACAATATCTCAAAAAATAAAAAGGACTAGAAATATAGCTCAGTGGAAGAAAGCCTCTGGGTTCAATCTCCAGTACCCCCCCGCCCCCCCAAAAAAGACAAAAAGAAAAAAACAGGAATGTTCACAGCTGAATTACTTATATTAGCCATGAAGTATAAATTAAGGGAAGGGAGATGGGAATAGGAAAAATAGCGGAATGAATTGGACATAACTTTCCTATGTTCATATGTGAACACACAACCAGTGTAACTCCACTCTGCCATGCGACCAGCGCAGGCTTCATGAAAGAAGGTTCGGTTCATAAGAAACTGCTAGTGAGTTTTGAATTAAAGAGACAGACTCTCATTACCTTTAACACCAGCTCTGAGATGGCTTCTCCTAGCTCCCGCCTCCAGTCACCTAATGCGGTGGTGAGGTTTACAGAAGAGACTAGCGAGAGAGGGAGAGCTCGCCAGGGAGTGAGCTTTTATTGGGGAACAAAAAAAATTCCAGGGAAAATCCCACCCAATGAAGGTTAAGGGGGGGGCAGCATCCCAAGGTCAAGGACGATGATTGGGTCTTCAGGTCAGTGGCCAGGCACGTCTCTACACGGACAAGCCCTTGGACCTGGGAAAGGGTGGGGAAGGCTTTTAACACAGCTGTGTCTAAGCGCCTCTCACCCAGCCAGGGAGGTAACTCAAATCACGTGCAAGGATGGCCTCCCACACTCCACATCATGTACAACCACAAGAATGGGAAGTTTATACTCCATGTATGCATAATATGTCAAAACATATTCTACTGTCATGTATATCTAAAAAGAACAAATAAAAAAATTTTAAAAGTCTGTAAATAATTGGTTGTAGTATATACATAGATTATTACATAAGTATTAGAAATAAACCAAAAAAAAAAAAAAAGAAATAAACCAAAGCTACATAACAAAACACAGATGAATCTCTAAATCAATGTTGGTTAAAGGAAACCAGACCCAGAATACTATAGCCTATACTTATATTCAATATGATGGACACTAACTTATGTGGCTATTTATATTTAAAAATTAATTAAAATTAAATGAAATTTAAATTCAATATCTCAATCAAGTCCCATTTCAAGTGCTTAATACCCATGTGACTGGTGGCAACCATAGTGGACCATATTTGGACAGTAATGGTCCATAAGATCCCATCTAAATGAAGTTAAAAATCAAGCACTACTATTGTGTTGAAGTTACAAAGTGGTTACTAAGCTTTGGAAAGGAGAAGAGGGGAAGTAACTAGAAGAGAACATGAGGGGGACTCTTCTAGCGTACTAACTGTTAAGGGCTGAATTGTGTCCCTGTAAAAGATATGTCCTACCCACCCCCCATGTCTTAGCCCATTTTTGTGTTGCTATACCAGAATACCTGAGGCTGGGTAAATATAAAGAAAAGAAATTATTTCTTACAATTCTGGAGGTTTAGAAGTCCAGGGTCAAGGGGCCTGCATCTGGTGAGGGCCTTCTTGTTGCATCATCCCAGGGCAGAAGACAGAAGGACAAGAAAGCACGTGCACAAAACAGCAAGAGAGGGCTGAACTTGATATTATAACCACCCACTCTAAATAAACCCAGTCCCAAGATAACATTAATTCATTTATGAAGGCCTCATACCCTAATCGCCTCTTTAGTTCCACTTTCTACTTATTAATACCATCACAATGACAATTAAATTTCAAGTTTTGGGGGAGACATTTGACACAGCAATTAGACATTATTTCTAGAAAATAATCTGATTTGAAAATAAGGTCTTTGCAAGTATAATTAAGATGAGGTTATTTGGGTGTCTTCCCCCACCCCCTGCAGTGCTGGGGATTGCATCCAGAGCCTGGTACATGCTAGGCAAGCATTATACTACTGAGCTATACCCCCAGCCCTAGGGTTAGTTTTACTAGTCTTAGCCCTAGGGTTAGTCTAGTAAGACTGTTATCCTTATAAGAGGAGGAAAATACCATGCAAAGGCAGACATATAGGGAGAAGAGGACCACATGAAAATGGAGGCAGATACTGAAGTGATAAATATATAAACTAAAAAAATGCCTAGGATTGTCAGTAATTGCCAAAAGCTACAAGAGGGTACATAGTCCTGTTGAAAGCTTGATTTTAAACATTTAGCTTCCAAACTGATAGAAATTAAATTTCTATTGTTTGAACCCACTCAGTTTGTAGTAATTCGTTAAGGAAGCCTTAGGAAACTAAAATATTGGAGGTGATTTACTTTTTAACCAGAGAGGTGGTTAGCTACTTTATAAGATGTTTTGTATATTTTGTGTGTGCATTATATCACACATGCACACACATACAGAATCAAGTACTAGAAAAATACCAGCATGTAAGTCAGGAGGAGAGGACCAAAGTTGAAGTGTTCTAAAGTCCTTTTACTGCAAAAGGTGGACAAGATACAGGTATAGTTTAGTTTTTAAATTATGGTGTGTGGGGCGTGGTAAAATTTGAAGGTAACCATAAAATAACTCGCTAACCAATTTTTTAAAAAAGAGAAAGCTTAGACTGAAGTAGCAAAAAAATAAATACAAACATACCAGTATCTACAGTGAGCTTATATGAATTAAACTTGCCAATTAAAATTGGATAAAAAACAAAAAACAACTATATGGTTTCACTTCCAATAATAGCAGAGTAGCTTATATTGGATTAATCCTCCCATAGATAAGATTATATACACACATGTGTGTGGTGTTTGTGTGTGCACGTAGATATTTTTCCCTGTACTTGGCATTAAACCCAGGAACTTTTGTGTACTAGGCAAGTGCTCCACCATTGCTCCACCACAACCAGTCCCCACAGATACAACTATATACTACTTCAAGACACTGTAGAGTAATAAAGACACAAAGAAAAAAAGAAAGAAAGAAAAACAGGTACAAACAAACAGATGTTGACCCTTAAAATAAATGAATATTACAAGGTTAAATTTATAGCTTTATCAGTTTTGCCTTAGGGTACTTTCCATTCCTTATGCAGTAAGATGAACAAACTTCATTTAGAAAGCCAAACTCTTAGTGGCTTGAGTAATCAAGATAGGGTGTCCATCTACAGAGAAGCTAGAAAGTGTGGGGGTGGGGATGGGGTATAAGAGGTATATCCCAGGGCTGGGGCTGGGGCTCAGCAGTAGAGCGCTCGCCTGGCCCATGCAAGGCCCTGGGTTCGATCCTCAGCACCACATAAAAATAAGTAAATAAAATAAAGGTATTGTGTCCAACTGCAACTAAATAAATAAATATTTTTTAAAAAAGAGGTTTATCCCAGAGAAATGAGAAAGCAACAAAGAAGGTTCCCCTAAATCTATAAGTACTGAGTTTACTTCAGAAGTGTAAGTATGCATCATACATGAGAAAAGATTCATTCCCCAGTGAATATCAACAGCTGGAAACCCAAAACTTCGAATAAGCAATTTTAGCTGTTGCTTGCTATTGGGGGAACAGTTTGAAGTCTGAATTTAGCAGAAATAAAAATATATTACAGGGCTA